GCCGAACATGTCAAGAGATGTGAAGGAGTTCTCTCGAAGGTGCGATAAATGCCAACGATATGGACCATTGATCCACCAACCACCTGAGGAATTGCACGTAATGGCCTCGCCGTGGCCTTTCGCGCAATGGGGGATGGATGTGGTCGGTCCTCTGCCAACGGCAAGAGCTCAGAACAAGTATGTGTTACTGGCCACGGATTATTTCACTAAGTGGGTGGAAGCCGAACCATATCCTAGCGTGACTCAGACTCATGTGAGACGATTTATTTGGAACAATATTCTCTGCCGTTTCGGCGTTCCAAGGTCAATAGTCATGGATAATGGCACGAACCTCGACAGCAAGCAAGTAAGAGAGCTGCTGGAGGAGTATGGAATTAATCAGAAGTTGGCTGCAGTAAGTCATCCTCAGGCCAATGGACAAGCAGAAATTACAAACAGAACAATTTTCGCCTGCATTAAGAAGAAGCTGGAGGACCATAAAGGGAAGTGGTTGGATGAGCTCCCGAACGTCCTATGGGCTTACAGAACCACCCCAAGGGGACCGACTGGGGAGAGCCCGTTTGCAATGGCATATGGTACCGAGGCGGTTATACCGGTTGAGCACTTGGTCCCAACTATCAGAAGCTTAGCATGGAGTCGAGATCAGAACGACAAGATGTTAAGATTGAACCTCGATATAATAGACGAAAGGAGGGACGCTGCAGCAATAAGGTTAGCATCATACCAGCAAGTATTGGCGAATAGTCACAACAAAAGAGTGAAACACAGAGATTTTGCCCCTGGCGATCTGGTTCTGAAAAGAAAGGTGGGGATAGTCAAAAAAATGATGCCACCCTGGGAAGGCCCATACAGAATTGCAGAAGTCATAGGCAAGGGAGCATATACGTTAGAAACCATGGCGGGAAGGTTGGTCAGCAAGCCCTGGAATGCCACGTCTCTGAAGAGGTACTACCAATAAAAGCTAAGTTTCGGCTTTATTGGGTGTTGTTTGTTGTCAATCAAGTACGTATGAATGTGCAAATTCCTAAAATTTATAAAAATAACTTTCCTCTTCAATGGGTTGCAAAAAATAAAAAACAAATGAAAAGCTAAGTGGCAAGTGGCATTCTAGCCGAGCCCCAGGCACTTAAGCAAGATAAGTGGCAGCTGGCACCATAAGCCGAACGCCAGACACTTGCTAAAAAATGAAAAGCCAAGTGGCAAGTGGCATTCTAGCCGAGTGCCAGGCACTTAAGCAAGATAAGTGGCAGCTGGCACCATAAGCCGAACGCCAGACACTTGCTAAAAAATGAAAAGCCAAGTGGCAACTGACACTCTAGCCGAGCGCCAGGCACTTAAGCAAGATAAGTGGCAGCTGGCACCATAAGCCGAATGCCAGACACTTGCTAAAAAATGAAAAGCCAAGTGGCAAGTGGCATTCTAGCCGAGCGCCAGGCACTTAAGCAAGATAAGTGGCAGTTGGCACCATAAGCCGAACGCTAGACACTTGCTAAAAAATGAAAAGCCAAGTGGCAAGTGGCATTCTAGCCGAGCGCCAGGCACTTAAGCAAGATAAGTGGCAGCTGGCACCATAAGCCGAACGCCAGACACTTGCTAAAAAATGAAAAGCCAAGTGGCAAGTGACATTCTAGCCGAGCGCCAGGCACTTGAGCAAGATAAGTGGCAGATGGCACCATAAGCCGAACGCCAGACACTTGCTAAAAAATGAAAAGCCAAGTGGCAAGTGGCATTCTAGCCGAGCGCCAAGCACTTGAGGAAGATAAGTGGCAGCTGGCACCGCAAGCCGAACGCCAAGCACTTGCCATAAACAAGCACACGACAAAGTTAATACAAAAAAAAAAAAAAAAAAAAAAAAAAAAGAAAAAAAAAAAAAGAGAGAAAAGGTATATATATATTGAGAATGGGTTTGAACAGAGCGCAAAACAAAGGAAAAAGAGAAAAAGAGTTCTGTCATCTCATTAATAATAAGCACTAGATTTACAAAAAATGAAATATTCAAGTCACATTGTTACAAAAAAAGTATGGAATCGAAGAGTCCGGAGGAGTCCTAGCTAGCTGCCTCAGTACCGACAGCCTCCTGGTTGTGTCGACCCGCCTCCTCGATCCCATCAGCAATCTCACCCTCATGAGGAGGGGAATCAAGATGAATAACAGAGTCATCCTGCTGGGGGCCAACGTCAGCAGTGGCTATGGGAGGTACCACAGTTGACGATTGAGGAGCGGTTAGAGGCAGAGCGGTAGGAGGAGCTGTAGTGATCCTAGAGGAAGCAATGTCCTGGCACTCATCAAATATGTGCTCCGCTTCGGTGGGTTCTGGGTCAACATAGACCCCCAGCGGGTCAATCCCTAAATCCTTATCGACCTCGTCTGGAGTTGAGCTGGTCTGTCCCTCATCCGGAACTCGGTCGGAAAAACCTTCTCGGAATCCCTGAGCATATCTAAGAGCGCCGACCCTTGAGAACCGAGCATGAAGAGCCAGCATCCCACCGTTCACTCTGCTGATGGTATCAATCAGAGCAGTACGTTCGTCCGAGCTCTCTTCTCAAAAGCCATCCGAGCAGACTGTTCATCAGCCAGAAGGCGCTGGAGCTCTGCCTTTTCGTCTCTGATTGAATCACGCTCAGTCTGCCAGACACTCTTTTCAAGCTGGAGGGCATCATTCTCATCCTGAAGAGAGTCGTTTTCTTTCTTCAAGACATCTCTTTCTTGTTCAGTTTTTTCAAGCCGAGCCAATACCTCGGTATTCTTGCTGGCGAGGAGGTCGTTTTCCTTATTGGCCACCTCCAGGCTATCAAAAAACTTACGAGCCCTGGCGTTCCCCATTTCAACCTGCTTCTGCATAGCCATCATTCTGAACAAAGTCTGCATAGATATACATTAATAATGGTTAAACCGATAGTCTGGTCGGACGAAGGCAAGACCAAATAAAATGAGAGGATTCATGAGTTGGAAAATAAAAGTCACCTCCATGGCAGATTGGGGAAAGCGGCTGAACACATCCTTCTGGGATAGACCTTTCGCCGCCTCAAGGTCTTTCGGAGTCCACATTCTCCTATAATACGCCATGGCGGTCTGGCCATCCTTTAGCATGGTCTCGTTCGGCTTCACGAACGTCCCATCCGTTCGGGTGTACCGAGGAGCCCATGGTGGTAAAGTGGGAAGAGAAGGGGAGGCTGAAGCAGAAGCAGAGGCACCAGCTGCAACAGGCCCGGAGGGGGCAGGAGCTCTGACTGGGCGGTGCAAGAGAGCACCCGGCCCAGAGACCCGGGTCCTTCTTATAAGAGGTTCCTCCTCAGGGTCGACTCCACTGTCAGGATGAGGCCTTTTGCCTCGTTCTTTGTCCCGAGCGCCCCCAGCGGGAGCAGGGGCTGTAGTGATTTGTGGAGATGCGCTCGAGTTGGTAGCAGGGGTGCTGACAACAGAATCAATAGCCACCGTGCTCGGGATGGTGTCAGAGATGGTGGCTGAGGAAGAGGCTGATGCAGGAGAGGAGGTTGCCCCAGCAGCAGAAGTGGCTGGGGGAGTATTTTTCTTCCTGCCAAATGATGGAATCTGAAGCCTGCTCATGGTATAGCCGAGGGATGAGAGCGCTAGAAGGTTGTCTGAAGTGAGGAGGTCTGAGCAGGAAGGAATATCGTTCAGAACGTATTTCTTCAAGTAATTACTCCTATCCCTGCAAACACTGTAGCTCAAGTCATCACAAGGTATTCCTAAGGAGCGGCATAAGAAAGTACAAAAGCGAGGAACACATGTTTCGCAGGGACAATCGTTTTTGTGAGATTTGAATTTCTTATATAAGGAAACAGAACAGACGCCAAAGGCGCTTGGGATTGGGTAATCCTCTGCAGCCGGCGAAGACCAAGCCCCACTAATGCCCACGATGTTATCCCTCCAACCCTTTTCAGATTTGATTGTGTCCGTACATATGGACATCTTGTCGATCGGGTAGAGGTGGTAGAAGGGCTCGTTAGTTCAGATCTTACTGACCTTATAACACAGAAGAAGATCTATGAGGTCAAGGTCCAGGCTTCTGTCACGAATCAACAGTAGCATAACGGATATGATTCTAAAGAAATTGGGGTTTACCTGCAGGGGGGAGATCCCCAGTCTATTGAAGACATAATTAAAGAAGGGATGCAGAGAAAACCTAACGACATTCAGTTGAAGGTTTGAAAATAAAACTTCACTGGGAAGGAGGCCGGTACCGGTCATAATATTAACATCCTTAGGGCAAACCCTAACTTGGATGTTGTCAGGAAGTCTAAGTCTCATACGAAAAACATCTAGATCTACAACCATGGTGGAAGTGATTGAAGGATCTAAAAGGGTAAAAAGAAGCCTGCCGAAAGTAAAAAGGAACAAAACTAACCTCTGAGGTAGAAAGCAACAAAGAGCACTGCGAGACCGCTGGAAGAATGACTCTTGAAGGATTTCACCGGAAGAAGCTTAACACTGTTCTAAAGAGAGAGAGATTTGACTGATGATGGAGATGGTAAAAAGGCATGAAGTGGTATTCTAGAGCCTTATAAAGGCGAGGGGGACCCGAGGGCCGAAGCGTCAGGAAGGCGAGAAGTTCATCGAGCCCCGGAGCATTGATTCTGGATCTGACTGTCCGTTCCCCCATGTGGTTTTCTCGAGCCGTCAACGTCATGATGAGACGCCTTCAATAATTACCCCCTTATTAAACAAGGGGTAATTATGGGGGCAGTTGAGGAGGCCCGAGATGACATGGGCCAGATATGACTTGCAAACGCGACATCAGGTCCGTACAGATGGGTCAGGCCCATAGAGAGACACTGCCATATGGGCCGAACACGAATAAGCCTATCAAAGATGACCAGAACTCATGGAGGAACGGGCCTAGATCCAGCAGTCCATCAACATTTGTAAATATCTATAAATAGGAGAAGTAATGGAAAGAATAGGGGAGATATTTTTTGGTTGAAATACAAGAATTCTAGAGAGAGAAAGAGGGAGGGAATTTCTTGTATCTTCAAGACATCTACAGTTGACACAGAAATCAGATGTGTATTCTTTTGGGGTGGTTCTTCTTGAAGTGCTTTGTGCAAGGCCAGCCATTAATAACTCGCTCCCACGGGATCAGATAAACTTGGCAGAATGGGGGATGTCTTGGCAAATGAAGGGGCAGCTTGAAAAAATCATTGATCCAAAGCTTGTCGGTAGAATCAATCCGAACTCATTGAAAAAATTTGGTGAAACAGCAGAGAAGTGCTTGGAAGGCTATGGTGCTGACAGGCCCACTATGCATGAAGTATTGCGGCAATTAGAATATGCACTGCAGCTTCAACAAACTGCAACATACAGAGAGCCCCACGAGGACATCACAATAGATGATGCTTCAGGGGTGTTGCCATTTCCTCTTTTTCAGCGGTTACCTTGTCAAAGCAGCATCACAAGTGAAGAATCCACAAATAGCAGTGAAGTGTTCTCACGATTGAAGATTGATGATGATGCCAAATAATCTGATGGTTTGAGGTACAGTTTTTGGTTTCACTCAGCTTTGTTTGTTCCTCTTGGACCTGCAAACATTAATTATATCCTGTTTAGAGAAGTGGTAACAAAATTTAGTTGAAGTTACACTCGGTGCTTACACGAGTGCCAAAATAAAACTTTCACACGTTGCAAATTGAAGTATTTTTCAACATGTCTAGTCTTTTTAATTTTGAATTAATTTCACTGACACTCTTAGGTCAAATTTTGAAGATTACTTTTGAAAATAATCATCACTCCCACCTCATGTCAGTTTTTCGTTAAAATGGTGTGAAATGTTATTTTTACCCATATTTTGTAATACCTTTTAATAAAAAAAAAAAAATATCAAAAATTTAAAAAGACAAAAATGCTCTCAAAATTCTTAGTTATCTTTTAGTTTTTGGAATGTCCCAAAATACGAGTTTCTTTCTAAAAATGGATTTACACATTTTAAATATCCTCATTGGGTATTGATTTGCTTATGATGTATGAAATTTTTTTATTTTTTATTTACTTTATCTTATGAATGCATGTTATATATATATAAATATATATACACACACATACACGTAGTATATATTATAGCAATCATTGTTATCATGAAAAGTCTCTTGTTTTTTTTATTTTTATTTTTGGTTGTTTGCGCTTTGACAAGAAACTTTAACACATCATTCACACACCTACTTATTAATATTTATTACATGAATCGGTGGACTTGGCTTGCTAAATGAAAATGGATTGAAACAGGGTAGTTAAGTCATTTTATATGTAAGATAGCTTTTTAGCCAATGATACAAAATAAAGGATACTAAAGTCATTTAACATGTCAAAAGTTGTATGACACCATCAAATAGTGATGTTCAGGTATAAGTAAAAAACAGAGGAACCGTTTATAGCATAAATGCTAGTAATTTTTTTTTCAGAAGGCTTCTCCATTTGACCAAGAAAGGGTCATTGTAATTAATCATTTAACTTAGATATCATGTTTAGATGTCTATTTTGACATTATTTCTTCGCACTTAAGGCAAGGATTAAGTTACAAAAGGTAAAAAACAATGGTCACAAGTTATACACATTTACATTAATCAAATTCAATATTTTAAACACATTTGAGTCAAGTGATGATAAACATGCATGTTGAATTTCTTTACTTTTCGCAAGTGAACCAATACTTCTTCAATCTAAATTTGATTCATTACCTGCATTTTGATCCTTGTTTTTTTGGTGGTGTTGAAATGCAGAAAATTTTGTCTTGAAGAGAGAGAGAGATATATATATATATATATATATATATATATATATATATAAGAGATGCAGGAAGTCTGTCCGTGCTGCACAACTCTCTTGTGGGAGTTAGAGTGAAGCCAGGCCAGAGCATCGTCGGCTGATCAGTATCTACTGCAATTACCATTCTAAATTCAATAATGGCCATCGTCGGCTGCTGTTAGTGTTAGGATATGTGTGCCCTAGCATAGCAAATTCTAATTTTGGATTGTAAAAGTCATGGTTTCTTATCTAGATATTATTATTAAAGCATTATACAATTGGTGAATGGAATGTATTATTTTTTGATTCATTATGGAATTGATTGTGTCCGTTTGATTACAAAATATATTTATATATGTATGTAATGGCAATTAATACTATGTTATAAATTAGTAATTATAAATGGTTTAAAGTCGGTAATTATGGATGGACATTTAATTAATTAAAACTTGAACCGAGTACACGATAGATTGAGATATATTGCGAGAGCTGTCGTATGCAATTGCTCTCTATCACAGTCATGGCTTTTGACTCTCAAGCATGAGAGAAGTATAGACTCTTTTATTAATTAATAATTACTTTGATTTGTTTGGCGGATACCTCGGGATCCTTAGATCGACACTTTGGGTAGTTATGTAATTAATAGTTAGAGGTCTATATTCTCAATATTTGCATTAGTGTTATTTGTATTTATTTTGTTTTGATTATGGTTGATCACAAATTAAATTCGAAGGCCTTCGTATGTTTTAGACAAATGTTTTCTATAGATATTTATTTAATAAATTATTATTTTTTTATCAAATAAATATTTTATTGTGATCGAATCGGAAATAATCAAAGGTAACAAAATAATTATATTAATTATGTTGTCGGATTGATGGCTTTAATTATTCGATAAATAATTAAGCATAGAGGGGTCAAAGTACGCATTGACTTAGAGGTTATTTACTATTTAATTAGAGTGCAATTAATTTCTTTTAGTGGAGTAGAAATTAATTTATGAATTAATTGAATTGGGTCCATGGTTTAATGGACCGGACCAATTATTAATTTATAGGAGTCAAGAAAATAGTAAGCCCGAAAGGATTCTCACTAATAGCCCAAGTTGATATTGGAGTCATGTTAGAATTGAGAAAGTTGAATTAGAGATGGAGAATGATTTATTGTTTCCTTATTCCTATTTTTATTTTGCCGATATATGTATGAGTTCATGTATATTTTGTGGGTGACTTTTAGAACAAGAAAAAGGAATACACTTTCTCTCTCTAGATTTTAGGATTTTGTTTTCTCTTCTAAAGGAAGCTACCACAAGCCTAAATTCCAAGGTCATTCATCAAGGCATATTGGTGATTCCTAAAGGGAAGATAATAATCAAGAAGAAGGAGAAAGGATCTTGCTAAAGAAATCTACAATAAGTGAGAACATTCACTTTAAAGGAAAGTTTAAAAGGTTTACTCAGACCTTTGATGTAAGTATTCAATCTGCTTATTGAATTATACATCATCTTTTATTTATCTTTGCATAAAACTTGTCTCTATGTGATGAATCAAGATCCATGATTGCAAATCCCTCAAAAAGTTTTAAAAACTTGCACGTTTCCCAACAGTAGTATCAGAGCACATGGTTTGATTCATTACTAGAGATCATGTGTTTATAAAAATCATGTTCATGGATCCAAATCATATATACATATATATATTTATTGATGTATGTTGATGTATGATTTATTATATTGATATATATTAATACATGATAATGTATGTATAATTGTGAATGGATGATGATATATTTTTGAGTCATGGATGAAGCTTATAGGTATATTGAATGTAATTTTATTTTTGGATGAATGTAATTAAGGCTTTGTTTTAGCCGTTTGAAAATTCAATGATGTAATTTAATTTTTTTCATTGTATTTCAAATTGTAAGTATTTATTAAAGCCATGTAATATTTATCAAAGAATGCTATGAAGCTTCAAGAAGGTCCGAAAGGATTAAATTATGCTTCAGTAATTTTCTGGAATTTTTCTGAATTTTTCATAATTTTTCTGGAATTTTTTGAGGCTTAATTTAATTTTCTGGGAATTTTTCTAATTTTTCTGGAATTTTTCGGCGTTTTTCCGGTGGCCGGAGCATCGCCGGCGGCGAGAAAAGGCGTTGAAGGAGGTTGGAATCACATGTGATGCAGGTAAGGTGAGCCTAGCGCGTGTTCCTCATGCACCAGGAAGTGGCATATAAAGGACAAGTTGGCGCGTGGATCTCACACGCTAGCCAAGGGGGTTTCCTTCTCCACGCGCGTGCAGGCGCGTGGAGGCGTGTCCCACGCGCCCCAAGCGCGTGCCAACGCGTGGGGGGCGCGTGCCTTGACCTGCCACCTTCCCTAGGCGCGTGCTAACGCATGTGGGGTCATCGGGGCTTGTTCCAAGCGGTATTTTGCTTCTCTTAACGCGTATCAGCTTCCTATAGGTGTTTACGGACTATTGAAGGACGCCCGTACAGCAAGAATAGTATTTAAATGTTAAAAGCTAAATCCATTGGCCATTTATATTGCTTCTGTCTGTTATTTAATGCATAGAATAATTTAATACTGATTATAATTGTTCATGCATTGGATCCATGATTTTTTAACTAAATGGCTTGATTTATATTAATTAAATTATGATGATAAATTGGATTAGATTGGAAATTAATTTGAGGGCATTTATTGGGAAACAGAAAAATTATTTTTGTAAATTATTTTTTGCCTCAAATTAAATATTAGTGAATCATTTAAAATCCATATATTTTCTAAATTTAATTGGATTAAAATCAAGGCGTTTTGCATGCATTAAATCATGAATTGAAAACCCTAGTTTTATGTTATTAAAAATTGAGTAGGAGCGGGGATTTTTATACATTACCCCATGGCCTTCGTAATTATAACCATTGTGATTAGATCTTTAAAAATAAGGCTCCACGCATGATTTAAAGAGTCTAAATTACAAGAATAGTTGTCTCACGAAAATATATTTATTAAATAACCATTATAGTTAGATCTTTAAAAATAAGGCTCTACGCATGATTTAAAGAGTTTAAGCTATTAATGGCAATATATTTAATATTTGATTTTTCGTTGGAGCATTAATTATGTTATACACTCAATCTAAAATCAATAGTATTAGCTCCCCAACGGAGTGGTCTATACTAGGTAATTTTAGAAAGGCTAAATCTAATCGGGAATTATTTCATATATATAGATAAGGCATTGTCTAAAGAGATATGGAAATAATGAGTTGTTCTCGTCAATAAGCAATAATGAATTCCGCCAACCTGATAAGTTATTGGCATATTGATTGTCCGATTTTTCATGCAATGTGGTTAAGGGACCCACAATTAATTAATTATTTTATACTTGCATGATTATTATTATTCACTTTATTTATTGTATAAATGCTTTTATTTTCAGATTTATCATAACTAGTCCATTCAGTCCACTTGCAAATATACTAAAAGAAAATCGATTAACTGGACCTAAATATATCGATTGGAAAAGGCAACTAGATATTGTACTCACATATGAGGGGTTGAATTATGTGCTTACTACTCCTAGATCTTCTCCACCTTTGCCTGAGGATCCTCCTGAGGAGCATGAAGTTTTTAAGAAATGCAATAAAGCAGATGAGATGACTAGGTGCTACATTCTTGCTTCACTCTCGAATGTACTCCAAAGTCAACATCTTCAATATC